CCGATCTCGATCCCCACAGCACTGCGATGAATACAGAGACCCCGCCACAGCCGGCCGGTCATCGTTATACAATGGAATTCACCCACACGCCTCTCGACTATCGCGCGCCTTCTATCCGTCTAATGCGCATTCAAGCCGGACAGTCGTCAGACAGTCCTCTTCAGTGCGGACTGCGACACGCTTCGACTGCGAGCACTTATCTTTGCCTATCGTACGTCTGGGGCCCTGATGATAGCTGCCGATGGATTTTTGTAAACGGTCAGCGATTCCGCATCCGACAGAACTTGTACAGCTTCCTTAAACTAGCCAGAGAGGAGCAGCAATGGCGGTCCCATTGGTTTTGGATAGATGCTATCTGCATAGACCAGAGTAATGATATCGAGAGGAACCATCAGGTCAAGCAGATGGGAGATGTATTCGCAGGGGCAGTACAGGTCGTAGCGTGGCTTGGTACGCAGAAGGAGGTCGTCCTCTTCTTAGAGACCTCGAAATATAAGGAGAAGAAAGTGGCACCAACGAACAAACCACGAAAGTTGAAAAAACGAAGACAAACAACAGGAACCTCAGAAAGAGATCCACGAGCGATGATTAGCAGTTCACACCCACAAAGCGATAACAACGGAAGAATTTCGGCTGCGTACCTGGATGCATACCGCCATTTCTGTTTTGCTGATTATTGGGATCGTGCATGGATCACTCAAGAGGTCGCGCTGGCCCGTCAGATCACGTTTGTGGCTGGAGGAGTGAGCCTAGCAGCAAGCTCACTCTCTTTCGACCTTAATCATATCTGCGATGACCGCGTTGGAGCGCTGGATCCACACACGACACATGAACTCCGGGGTAGAAGTCTGATTTACCTGATGGACCGATTCAAAGCGAAGAAATCGTGCGTCGTTCGCGATCGGGTCTTTTCGCTGCTTTCTCTATGTGGCGAAGGCTCAGATGTGACTATTGATTATGGTGTCACGGACCTAAAAGTCGCCGAAAATGTCCTGAATTGCTGTAGACGCTCGTTCTGCCTATGTTCTATAGGTATAGTGGCACACGTCTTGGGTGTTCAAACCGAACTCACGGCCCCGCTTTGTCTCCTCAACTCGCGTCGGGAATATGCTCGGATTACCCTTCCGGTGACCACGGATCCGGAAACATTCAGAACCAGCGAGAAATTACCTGCTTTGTATGAGCCAAATTACAATGACTCGCGTCTCACATTGAAGATTCGCGTCCTTTGCCGCTCATACCGTGGACGACTTCGAGTGTCCCCCGTCAGGATCCCACTATTAGTGAGCTATGGACACGAGATCTTTGACGAATGGCGCACTCATACGATCAATGGATGTAGTGTTGATCTGTCAAACGACCAACAGTCTTGCACTGCGATCTTCTCATCGGCGTTTCTCTATGAGATCATTCAGTTCAATCGATCATTGATGCCGTGCTGTGAGCGAGTGACATACGAAGGGACGACGTCAGCGTGGACATCTAGTATGCCCGCATTAACTTTGTGTGGATAGGTGGGAACCTATATGACTGTATTATAATAGGCCCAATGAATGTGTGTTATATTGAGAAGATTGTATTTTTGTCTCTTGGTTTCTCGCTCGAACTTCGGTCGCTAACGACCGCTGTGGACTCTCTTGACTGGAATTTAACGTGCGCCTACTACGTTTCTTTTGTCAACACATCTTGTGTGAATGTTGTCACCCCTTTTGATTAGACTTACGCGCAGTATACTCTCCATACTGCTTCATAAGCAATTCATACAACTCATTCGTCGTCCACCTCTCCCGGCCAACAAGACCTTGCTTCGAATTCCACCAGTCGGCGTCTTCATTCCAATATCTCCTGTCGCGTAGATGCGCTCGGTTATGGTATGGTTGTGACGGACGAAGACTCGTTGGTGTCTAAGCTGCAATGATAAGAAATCAGCGAATCTTGGCATATTGCTCGCAGGGCGATATCTATAGCGCAAAGAAGACATGTAGGGGAATAACCTGCGATCATGCGGCGCTGTCATTGACGTTCATTGTTCACTGTCCTTGCATGCGGCGTAGCAAGCTTAGCCTGTGCCTCGATCTTTCAGAGACCTCTTGGCTCGTCGGATGAGCATTGACAACAATCTTCAAGGGTGACAATCGACAGATTGTCAGGAACACAATATCGCATTGTAAAAGTCTATGTCACTCCAAGCCGACTGAAGATCGTCGCTGTCAAAAACTCCGTAAACGCCATGCTTGCTCATATCGACATTATCCTCCGTCTGCGCGTGCCGCACTATTCGTCGTCGAGTATCGAGCTGGCCAGCGGACCAAAGAAGGGTACTTCGTATCGATCGAGTGTTGCGGCTGTCCACATGTTAGCGCCTGGTTCCATTCTAGCATTCACACCTTGGACCCACCATCCAAATATGCCCTCCAAGTCAACCACCCTATCCCCGCCAAATCTCCGATGAATAGCACCCAGGAGATGTAACTCGACCAGCTGAATATGATGTGCACCACGAAGACGAAGGCGAACAGCAAGCTGCTTTGCCAAGCGTGGAACCGAACATAGTCGCTTTGGTGCTCTAGAACCAAGAGTAACACACCCCCCGCTGGTGGTAGTAGAAGGTATGCCAGGCACGCTTCGTAGTCTAGTCGCCAGCCTAGAGACGTTGTGAACATGTCTACATCCTCGCGCGAACGGCCGAAGCCTGTACTCCGCGAAGGCTGGTCCCATGCTATGCGCTCTGTATCGGGTTCTGCGGGCGGCGATATAGGCGATTGACCTTGGAAGTAGTCATGCTGTTCGTATGCGCGTGTGGTGGGCGATGTGATATTACGTGTGCGGTCGATAGATGTCCTCGGCGAGTGGACTGGCGGTGGGGAGAGCGCGCGTGACGATTCGGGAATGTCTTGGTATGGGGCGAAGTTGGCTGCCATTATGTCTCCTTCCTCGGTCAAAGACGTATGTAGTATATCAGAAGCTTGTCGCTCAATTCCTGGGTATTGCGAAGTTTGGTGCAAGAGATAGGGCTGACGCAGAGGCAGGTGTAACCGGGGCTGTGACGTTTGGCAGGGATCCGAGCTCGAGATGGGCCGGGGTTCTGCCGCTGGCACGTGAATGATTGCTTTCGGCCATCTCCGCCGTGTCACTCCGCTGCAGGAACAGTCATGCTGTGCGACGTCTCTAGAAAACGACGGCTCACACAGCTTTCGAGTACCTCGCAGTGAACAGCATGCTAACGCAAGTGCAACGAGTCAATGCTAAGTGAGGTACCGCCGTCTTTACCGTCGCTGGCTCGAGGTCGCACTCTCCTTATGTCACAGGGACATCAGATTCCGCCTTCGGTCGACCTTTGTCTCGCCATGTGTCGTCCTACCTCACTCCACATTCTGTACGGTTGGAACCACGTATAAACTTGAACGTTGAAGCACTTGTTGGCATTCATTCACACCGCTCACACTGCACTTCGGTAAACTTTGCGCTTGTCCCGTCGTTCCCCGAAACTTCAACGCCACAGAACACCGCGTTGTCACACTTCAACTCACAAACCCTCTTACAACCAGAATACATCCATCAACATGTGCATCGCTATACTTACGACCGCGCATCCAGACTACCCGTTCATTCTACTCAACAATCGAGACGTACGTTTGTTCGGCTTCAGTCCTCTCCCACAACTAACGGAGACCAGGAGTATCTTCACCGTCCAACGGCAGAAGCAACATGGTGGCCATCTCCAGATACGCAAGTCCTAGGAGGCTACGATTTACACCGCCCTGCGCATGGCACCTGGCTAGGTGTAACTCGTCAAGGCCGAATCGCAGTATTGACCAACTACCGTGAAGAGGACCAAACCATCGTTGAAGGAGCGCGAAGTAGAGGACTGATTCCAAATGCTTGGCTGAAGATCGACCCAAAGAAAGGGGAGAGCACAGAAGGTTTTGCGAAACGAATGATTGAGGAGGATGGTGTTGAAGGTGTAGGAGGTTTCTCGCTCTGCTATGGGTTCATCCAGGATGTCGTCAAAGAAGAAGGAAAGGGTCTAGCGATCGTCAGCAACCGCACTCCAGACGTTCACGGTGTGGTCCATCTCCTGCAAACACCAAATGAAACCCGAGCTCTAAGCAACGCCGCCTACAGTGACCGCAGCTGGCCCAAAGTAACAAACGGAGAAGCCTGGACGCGCACCGCTATCGCTGAATCCGTCGCCGCGAATGAATCTCGCGACCAGCTTGTCAACCGTCTTCTTGACATTCTGACCACGGACACCATGCCACGACAGAAAGAGAATGAAGAATGGGACATGTACCTCAACCAGCTACGTCACAGCATCTTTATACCGGCCATCGGAAGAGATCATCTGGAAGAGCACAAGATGCCTGCGCATGAGATTGGCGATTTGGTCAAGGCGAAGGCGGTGGACGCTACGAGTGGGTGTTATGGTACTCAGAAGAACATCGTAGTGCTATGCGACCGGGAAGGTAAGGTGACATATTTTGAGAGGACGCTGTATGACGGCGACGCGAAACCGGTTGAGAAGGGCAAGGGTGACAGGCTATTCGACTTCACGATTGAGGGGTGGTAAGATGACGACCGACTATATGTGTCCGATGGTAGAGTTTTCACTGCTTTCGTTTTGTCCCAACTTGAACCATCCATACATATTTTTCATATCCTACCCATTGTCAACTTTCCATCGGCCAGCGCAATGATCTCTAGTAGCCGCCAGTAAAACTTGCTCTCAAAATCTCCATTCTGCTACTGCAAACGCGACAGCCCGACGCGTCTCCCTAGATCTCTCCGTTTGCTGTCCGCAACATCGCGCTACGCGATTGGTCCGTGCAGCTATTCTCTCCGTTGCTACGCCTGACTACTAACCCGTCAATAACACAGCTTGTCTCATCAGTTGACCTTGAACGCAATCATCTTGCAACAACCGCTTTCTGTCGCTTCCAATCCGCATCAGCAATCGCGTCTCACATTCCTCCGTTTACACTCCACTACCAATCGCTACCATGTGTATCATGTGGTTCGTAACGCACAACGACGGCCCCCGTGAGCACCTTATCGACTACCTTCACTGCGGCCATCTCGACTGCTCTGGAACGTTGGAGTTTCACAACAAGTGCGTGCTCGTAGAACCCCGTGCAGACTGTGGAGAGTGTCTGAAGGCAGATGGCGATCAGGTGGATCAAGAGGTATGTTCGTATCCTGCTATTCCGCATTACGAATTGGCGTACGTAGAAGGAACGGGTTGGGTCAAGGTCGCTGAGGAAGAGAATGTTGCGGTTGGAGGACGGAACCAGGAGGAGGACGATGACGAGGCCGGCTCATACCACAGCTTCCGAAGCCTCTCGGACGTCGACAGCATCACGTCACACTGGCGTCTAGACCCGCCGCGTGTCCGTCGAACGGCTCGAGGTCCGCAAGAGAACTCGCCAGCACCAGCTCCACACGCTTCTCCAGGAGTCGCGGAGCCGTTCGAAACCCGCTCCGCCCATGATCCGCACGAAATGCAAGAAGTGGGCTCGCCATTCCACGGAAACGGCTCCAACCAGGACCCGAACATTCCAGATGTTGCGGAAGGCCAATTCAGCGACTCACCCAATACGCTCAAGCACCGTCATCTCGTCAACGGTCAGCTGAAAGAGCTGAAAAAGCTTACCAAGCGGATGTCTCGCCATCGGCGCCAGAACAGTGGACCCGGGCGCCAACAACAACAACACCGACGTCAAAACAGCCAGGCAGCCGGTAATGTCGTCGCCGCACACCCTTATGGGTTCGCGATGGGCGCGGACGTAGTGCCTCAAGATCTGCCAGGAGGTCATGTGCCGCAGTACTTGGGAGTGCCTCAACCAGGCCAGGCGCCGACGTGGGTTTGGGGACCGGTTCCGCCGCCTCATCTGAGGGGAATGTATCCACCTGTAAGTACTGTTATATCTCGAACTAGCAATACTTGCTAACATGTATAGTTCTAGGGGATGTTTAGATTGTTGGGGGGGGATAGTAGATTTTGGAGATCCGATTGTGGATGAGATGGATGATTGTGTATCGAAGTCCTGTTTTGTTAATGTCACCTACCTTCCAGAGGTCTACATTGCCCTTTGCCTTTGCAAACTTTTGTCATTGTACTAATGTCGACTCCTGGATAAGTCTTTCTGACGGGCGTTCTGATGAAGTCAACATGCACGTGCTTTGTCTTGGCACGCTACAGGTGACAGGGAGTTAGTGACGTCTTGTAGATCTTTCGGCAACTCTAATCAACAAACACCGATCCGCAGTCCGACCTCCGCACCCGTTCTCGCGACAACCTGACCGCACTTGTTGTTTCGTGTCACACGTTCCAGAGAGCAGAGCCATAATCTTTATCCTTCCTGTTCGACCGATCACGCGCCTTTCCGATCCTCTTCGCACACATTCAGCCGTCATGGCGTCTCTTCCGCCTCAGCGCCCCGCGTCGCAACATAGACCCTCACCTCCTGCCGAATCATCGTCCTCACAGCAGGAGCAAACAGAACGGACGAACAGTTTCTCTGGGCAGTCGGTAGATTCGCAGACGTTGCTACTCAATACGCCATCTACACAGTCAGCCTCTTCTACGCCGCAAGAACAGACCGAGGTACCCACACAGACCACCGCGCCACAATTAGAGGAAGACGACGAACCGCGAAGATGCTGGATCTGCTTCAACGACGAGACGGAAGACGACGAGACGACATCGGAATGGCGGTCGCCTTGCGCCTGCTCACTAGTGGCGCACGAGAGGTGTTTGCTAGACTGGATAGCGGATATGGAGGCGCCCAGCTCACGGCGACGGGCTGGTAAAGCAGCAGGGCAGATATTATGTCCTCAGTGCAAGAGCGAGATCAGAATAGAGCGACCGAGGAGCTACGTGGTGGACATGGTTCGGGGCGTCGAGAAGCTTACGGGTAGCCTCCTGCTTCCAGGCTTCGCACTCGTCACAGGCACGGCGCTCTACTCGACACTGACGCTGTCCGGGACGGCAACGATTTACCAGATGTTCGGCACGCAAGACGCGCTCCAGATTCTTGGGCCGCTCTACGAGACGCCGAGTCGGTCGGTGAACTCGGTGACATTGCAGTGGCTAGAACACCTGAGGCAGCACTGGAGGTTAGACCTTGGGTTATCGTTAATTCCGACAGTTTTGGTCGCAAGCCGAACGTCATTCGCCGACTCCTTCCTACCCTTCCTTCCGCTCATCTTCTTCGTTAGCTCCGGACAACCAGGCGATGACATGCTACAACTGCAGTGGCCACCGAGCGCGGCTTTCACCTTTGCCGCACTACCATATCTTCGGGGCTTCTATAACGCATACTACGAGCGTGTATGGTTACCACGAGAGCAGCAGTGGCTGAAGGAGATCCAGCCACGAGCTGGCGAGGACACAACCGCAGATGTTCAGGTACAACATGATCACGACCATGACCACGACCATGTCGGTGACGAGGATGTGATTGAAGAAGTAGAGATAGAACTCGACTTCGACATCTTCGCAGATTGGAACAACAATGGCGAAGCCGACAACGACGACGATGACGACGACGCGCACGAACATCCCCCCCTACCCGTCGCGCGAGGCCCAGCAGGGCCCATCGACGCGCCACCACAAGACGATCAGGACGATGCAGAGATGCCTGACCTCGTCGATGTCGGACCTGAGCAACACGCAGCACCTCCACCCAACATCCCCATGCAGCCCGCCGCACCCCGACCCCGACGCGTCCGTCGCGAACGCGGCGTTACCTTCTCCACAACCTCCCTCGCCGACACCATCCTCGGCGCCCTCATCTTCCCCACTATCGCCGCCGCAATGGGCGAGATTCTCAGACTCAGCTTACCCAGCTCCTGGGTGACACCTCCTACAGGCGCACCGGCAACATCTTGGCTCGGTGGCTGGATCAACACGGGTGGCAAGGCAGGTGGTGTAGGCAAGCCAACTGGCTTTTTGCAGACGCGTTGGGGCAGGAGTGTGGTTGGTGGATGCATGTTTGTTGGGCTGAAGGACATGATTATGCTGTATGTTCGGTGGAAGACAGCGCAGAATCATCGGAAGAGGGGCATTGTGGATCATGATCGGAAAAAGCCGAGGGGTGGTGCTAGGGCGTCGGCTTGAGGGTGCTTGGGTTTGGGTGTTTGAAAATCAGAGTGAGCTCAGGAGTATGGGTATGTGATGTTGATATGAACGCTTTGAGCATGTTGTGGAGTCGACCTATTTGGAGGGTTTACTATTTGTATATTACAGTCAATTGCACTAGACTGGTATCCCAGTCACGCTGAACCATCAGCTCTCGAATCCTCTTCTCAATCAACTGTGAAGCAACCGTCCCACCCTACTATCCCCTACCCACTCCCAGAGTCTACCCAAACCTCTCCGCAGCAATTCTCCTCAAAAACTCCATAGTCCCCGCCTCCTTCTCCCTTCGTTCCGCTAGTCTCTCATTCCTCTCCGCCTCCCTCGCCCGCGCAATCTCCTCGCGTCGTATCTCCCTCTCGTTCTTCTGCCTCTCTTGCTCCTTCTTTTTCTTCTTATACACATCGATGCCGTCGTCGCCCATGAGATCTGATTCGGGCACGTCGACTTCACCTGCTTCTTTGGCGTCGCGGAAGGAGTTTAGGGTGGATGTTGTTTCGCGCTTCTTCTCTAGTTGGCGTTCACGAGAGTTGGGGTCCGCGCGGGGGACGAGGTCGTCTAGAGCCTCTTTCTGCGATTTCCGATCCGTTTTGCGGGCGTGTCGGATGTCGTCTATGTAGTTTGATTGGCCATGCGCGCGGTCTTCGGAGAGGAGTTCGTTGCGGAGGGTTAGGTCGTCCATGTTGGGGATTGTGGGACCGTGGCCGGTGTGTCTGGGGAGGTTCGTAGGCGGCGCGGGACCGAAGTCGTCGTCGCTTGCGTCTGAAGCTTCATCTTCTTTCCGCGCATAGCTCGGCGACGCTCTTTTCCTGGGCGCTACAGGAGAAGTCGCACGATACGTCTGCACAGTCTCCTGCGCCGTCTTCAGCATCGAAGGATCGTACCAGCTCCGCGCTAGCTCCCCCCGGTTCCAGCGACTGACGAAGCTCTTCCATCGTCCCTTTACCTCCCGCTCGTCGAGGCTGTCGAGTTGGATGTTTTTCTGGATGTCGAGGTAGGATTGGAAGAGCGGTTTGTAGTCGTCGTAGTGGCGCTTTGATAGCGGCTTGGCTTTGTAGGGTAGGTCTATGGGTCGTGGTGCGGCGGGTGAGCGCGAGCGGTGGCGCTTGTGGTGGTGGGTGTCTTCGTCGCGACGGGGGGAGCGCGAACGGTGGGAGCGATGGTGTTTCTTGTGGGCGCGCGATTCGCGTGGTTTGGAATTGGCATGCGACTGCGATGGTAGTTGCGCGGTGGAGGCTTCGGGGGTGTAGCTGCGGCGCGGCATGGTGGAGGTTTGGTGGTGGAAAGTCAATGTGGAGATGGATGGAGCGGGAAGTAGTTCCAACGCATTCGAGGGTAAAGTTAGACACCTATCTCTACAATATACAACCAGAAAAACTCATAACAGGGCTACAATGCCTTGAGATTCTACCAACGTAGAAACTAGATACTATTGTAGGCTCTAAGGCACCTATTCACTTTTTCCCTTGAACAGGGTGGTTCGCATGTCATAGCGGGTCCTTTCCGCGGCTTCGGTTCTACTTGTGGATCTTCACCAACGCGCTAGTTGAGACCTCATGTATTACATCGTACTACCCAGACACATGCTCAGACTCCCGTACCCTTTCGAAAAGCTCATCAACAGTCATCATCCACAGCTCCGTAGTTGCAACACGCGTCTAGCCATCCCAATTGACGAGCGTCTCCCATCCTTCCCGCGCAGGTTCTTCCGTAGCAATGCCCACGTCTAATCGTTCGGCTGCGGTCCATCCAGACGTTGGAGACCCAGGCACTACATCTTCTTCGTCGACATTCATGGCCTCTACCAAAGGACTCCATCGTGTCATTGTCGCTCTGAGTCTGCTCTCTATAGAGCGAAGTTCATCTTGCAAGGTGCGTACTCCGCTTTTCGAGGCTTCGCGCTTTGTGTCTAGGTATTCGATGGCTGGAGCGTCGCTCGAAAACGAGAGATAGGCATGTGCACCTAAGTCAAGTGGTGAGCTTGAACATTGGATATAAGAGTCTGAGCTTACCTTCAAGGTGCTTGCGTACGATGACACCGCCAAGAGAATGTGCGATCCAGATCAGGTACCTCGAGCCTCTCACTTTCGCAGCATGATGCAATATCGTCGTGCTCCCTCCTTGAAAGATCCTAGAGGTTGAACGTCCTACTGAGCTTGCCAAATGCAGTGCTGTTGTACCCAAATTCGCGAGCGACGTCCGTCCCGTTCTTGTAAGGCCAGTCAACAATTGACCGCTTATTGGCGCAGTACGGACCTGAATATGTTCAGGCAAGCCAAGAATGAGTCCTACGATCGTTAATGCTGTGCAGAGAAGGCTCATAGTCCTCGGGTGTCGATGCTGTACCTCTGTAATCGCGGTAACACGCTCTTGCATATTCTCGACCTGTCTTCTCCGCCAATTCGATCTTCCAGTACCTTCTTTTTTACTGTTTTTTTTGGTCATGTCACGGAGGGGAAGTCAAGGGGTATGTATGTATGTATATGTGATAGTGATGGTGGGGGTAGGGAGAGGGGGGTAACTGTGCATTATCCCCCCTCTTTCTATCATTCTTCTTCACCTTCTCTACCCATATCTATCTATACACAAACATACTTCTTAATCAACTTCACACTCTTCTTCATTCTACTTCCTTTCTTCTCTTCTTCCTTCTTCTCTACTGTCTCTTCTTCTATCTCGTCTCTACTATCATATATAATAGTTAGCGTTCTTGCTTCACTTATCATACTTACTTCAGGTTTTCCTCTTCCTGTCTGTAGATATTCTGGTATCTGTTTGTCATTCTACTTAGTATCTTGTTTCTTCTTCTTCTTATTACTACTATTACTTACTTCTACCATATCTGTATTTCTTCCTTTCCAGTTCTTCTCTTCTGCTATTTTACCCATTTTGATCTATTCAATAGTCAGCTTTCTTTCTTTCTTTCTTTTTGGGAATTCTGAGTAAAGAAGAGAGGGGGATGGCATGTTTATATATGCTTTGGCTTTGACTCACAGATTTGTGCGCTAGGTTAGGGTTTTGTTGCTTATCTTCGAGCATGAAGTTGCGGGGATGGGTATTGGCCGTACCGAACTAATACTTGCGCAAACCAACGACCCCCCACAACCCTCCAGCTGCCACAAGCCTCTAGCAAGCCCAACCAAAAACCTTGCCGCACAATTTTCGCATTGAATTTACAGCGGTTATATCTAAAGCCTCTCGTTTGTCGAGCGACACCACAGAATTTGTTACACCCCCTTGTTAGAGCGCAAAGACTCACGATGGATCCCTCAAGATTCGGTAGTCCCAGGACCCAGGATTTCAGCCACTCAGATAATATTCAAGACTGTAAAGACTCACTCCACGGCAGAATGATCGGCTTTGCGTTCGGTTTCGAGGCTGGGTGTCAACGGTACCTATCATCCGTGTCATGGCTCCTTCTCACATTGTACCGCGATGACCCGAAGACGAGGAGCCAAACACACCTTCCGCATTTCGAACGATCTGTACGCAAGGCGATACTCACGTACGAGAGCTGTCGCAACCCCAAGAACCTCAAGTCCTCTCCCGCACGAAGTTTAGAGTTGCCGTTCTCCACAGTTCTCGTGCCGCTATACATTGACTTCCCTTCACTTGGATATATAAACTACCAAGAGGACCTTGCCTGATGGAAGTCCGAGGATCAAGAAGTCTGTGAGGGCGGGCGTTGCCATGGTTTCCCAATGACTCTTACGGAGATCCGGGAGGCGATGCAGGTGGTGTATGGATCATGACGTCCCGTCTCTGCCGACCGGCGTACTTCTACGGCACCCTATCGGAAGGCTGAAGCGCAACAGAAGCTCAGCATCTGATGCGTGAGGTTGCACATCATATGACAGGGGGCTGCATTGTCAAGACGAACAATGCCTAGGTGCCGATGTAGACCCACAGATCTCGCACCCAACCGCGAGAGCCGACTATTGGGGCTTCGAGAGTAAAGAGATGGGAATCAAAGCGAGATCAGTACGGTGGTGTCTAATGATCAAGGGAGTTCAGAATCCGGCACGTACACGTTGGTCTTTCTCGCTATCCATCTCATCAACCTGTAATGAGAATGGCTATTGGTCCACCCCGTCCACTACCCACCACCCACCACGGGCGAACCTGGCCCGTGCAGACTGTGTCACAAACGCTCTCGGACCATGACAGCCTACCAAGCAGACATCGAGCATGTGAACCTCAAGAGCAATTCGGGACGGCATCAGCAAGTCAACCTTACCGGCTCGCAATCAAAACATACACATGCACCGGGAAGGCTTAGCCTTCCACGTGATTTCGCGCGATTATCGCGACTAAAGGTTGTCATAACTTGGAGAGTATCAACACACATCAGACCGCTTCCAAACATTGCTTCGCCTTTCACCGCATCCTCCGCGACAAATCTTGAGTTCGCCCTCTATACCATCCCCTTTTCATCTCCATAGCACCACAAACACCTTCGTCTAGAACACCTGAGTCACTACAGCTCATCGGAAAAGCAACACACCATGGCTCCATTCTCGATCGAAGCCATCGTTGCCACTGTCACCCTCGTGACGACATTCCCCCAATCTGTCCTCGCCATCTGTGATCTCATCAGACTTAGACGTCACCGCGACTCGCGATCGAGTGAACACAGTGAGTCTCAAAGTACCCTCATACGCTCCACGCACTTCGTTCACATTTTCCCAGCTCGTCGGAGTGGATGCGATCATCTACCACCTCAAATCAACATCGCTCATGTAAACCTATTCGTCTCACAGCCCGGCCGACCCTAAGCCCCACAATTGAATACATTGGAGACAGTGAACACACTCCTCGGGCAACGATGAACATGGGTCGCTGATAAAACACTTGGAGACTACGTGGGTGTAGCGTAACACCAGGGCGGTTGTATGGAAAGGTCAGGAAACGACGTAGGGGATGTATCTTGCCGCTGGCGGCGTGATACTCACTTATGCTAGCTCAAGGCAAGGGTAGACATATGGATTGAAGACGGGGAAAGAATTGTATTTTTATAGCGCACCCTCATTTGTGCAAGTCAAAATACAACTGTCTCTTACGCAACACCGGGAATAGCCACCGGTCCAACCGGCCCACTACTCGCCCCAATATTCGCTTGATGCATCGTCCTTGCACCCCATTGATCAGGGTAATCCACGGCAGTATGAAACATCTGGTAGTTGGCCCACATGATGATATCTCCCTCCTCTACCTTCGGCAGCATGATGTATTCCGGCTTCAAAACACGTTCTTGGATGGGCTTAAGCCACGCCCTTATCTCGGCAACATCATCGATGATAGTCGGTTCTTCGTCTTCGCTTGACCGAACGAATGCGCGCCGGACGCAAATGCCGTGGACCATGAAAGCGTGCTCGCCTGTTACGGGGTTCACCCATACCATCGGGTAGCGCTTGATATCTTTTTCGTCGTAGGGTCCGAGGTCTTCCGTTGACTTCTCTTTGCCTTGACTCACGAGGCCTAGACCGTGAGACTGGCCTTTGCAGTCACCCATCCATTGGTAAGGGTGGGGTGCATATTCGACCCATGAGTGGTCGGCAATCTTCTTCTCTTGCTCTGTCATCATGTCGTATGTTTGAACATTGCTGAAGAAGGCGGTCAGACCGGGTTCCGTCTTCATAGTCAAGCCACTGCCGTCGTCCCAGTGGACGGTAAGTTCTGGGGATGTGGGTCGCTTGATGCAGCGGAGGGTGGTGAACCAGGCTGGGTCGCGGGCGTATAGCGGTGCGTCGATATGCCAGCGTTGGAAGCGTGTGTGGCCTTGCGCGTACTCTTCTTTTGGAAGCGGTTTGTCGTGCCATGCGTGTGCGAGTTCTTTCTTGATCGTTGCGTCTTTAAGACCGTAGTGGTCTGCGCCTTGGTAGCCTTTGCCGATTAGACGGACGTTCTCTGCGCCGGGTATGCCAACAACATCGCGTCCCCTCTGGAATTGGTTTAGCGGGGTGGACCACCTGATTGGAAGTGACTCTTACCGATAGTAGTCCACCTTGTTTGTGGAAGGTCTTGACATCGCCATGAGAGTGCACATGTGGTGCTTTAGGATCGAAGCGTGTGACAAGCTCCCATTGCTTGATGGGCGCGAGGTTCTTCTGACCCTTGACAACAACAAGTTTGTGGGTCCAGATCGCATCTGAGAGCGCTTTGACGTCGGAGTCTACAACACAACGTTAGCTGGTCGCATTACCATCGTCATGACGCAGTGTACTTACCACTGATGCTGTTCAAATCTAGGTCATCGATCACCGCCCCAAAGTCATGCTTCTCTTTGACACTCTTCTCCATCTCCTTCACTGTGAAGGTGGGCTCAGGGGCCAGAATACCTGGTGCCATGATTCTTGGCCGATGTCGAGGAAAGTGATGACCGGCGATCTTCCTTCTAGGCGGTGGTCTCTTGCGGTGAGTTTTGAACAGAAGAAGCGAAAGTTCAAGTGGTGAGAACGCAAAGCCCGATGTCATAAGTGTCTACACCATTAGCCAGCCTTGATCTATAATCCTCACGCCACATATATGCTCAAAGTCGAGACCATGTTCAACCACCCACCCTTACTCAACGGCTATCCCCGCATTCTCATCTAAGCACTCGGTCGTTATCAAAGACCCTATCTCAGCTGCGCTTGATACTGCAGCGATGCATCTGCCAAACGTGCGGAGAATGTTTCCCTGGGAGGCGCCCTCGCTAAGATCCATGGACGTTATCTTATCAGCAGCCAAGTTCCGGCCGAGACTCAACTCAAGGAAGCTGCTGCGCTCGGCCGACTTCGTAATCCGTGATCTGTGCGAGCGCGGTAGCTGGATAGGCGGGTTAGTCGACAGCAGTGGGCGCATGTTCGCATGCGACTACGATGTGGTGAGATAGCAATCGCTGACCGGGCAGCGCACTCTCAGTGCACGGCCGATCAGCGCAGTCACCGAAACGTGAGATGCGAGATGCAGTCAGCTGTTTTCGCGGTCATTGCATGTGGTGTTCGCGTTATGTGAGATAGAGCCTTCGAGCACATGTGCGACGCGTCGAGCTCTTTGCTGTGATCTTTGGTATCAGAACAGGCTACAGCAGTTTTGCGATGGTCTCGGTGGGAAAGGCGAGAGATGTGTGCAGAATCATAATGGCGTATGCTGTGTGGTAGAGAAGTGGCTGTAACAATACATCGAAGAGCGCTGGTGGAGGAAGCCTCGTTCGATGGGCGCAGGGATGCTCACGTGATCGTGACATGACTCCCGAGGTCGCCACGCGTCATCGATACCTGTCTCAAGCACACGCGTACAATTGACATCCACAACTTTCACGCATCTTGTTTGATACTTTATTGCAGCTACCTCATCATACAGCTCTCACTAGCTTCGTCTCGGATCTACATACACGTGCCATGGTCCCCTCACTCCGAAGGATGATCGCTCGCCGCAATGTTGCACTGATGCATCACACGCGGCCCATACGACTTCGGGAACTCAGTCTGTAGGCAAGACAGTGTTAGCCATTATTGCATCACTGGATCTTCATGAAGGAAGAAACTTACGATGCTGTGCCATAGCGCGCGGTTGTACCACAAGATGACATCCTGCTCTTGATGCGGATGCGCGTAAATGTTCTCGGGTTGCAACGCCGGTCGCATGAGTCTGCTCGCAGTCAGTATACTAACAAAGTATGAAATCACGATACTTACTTATCGAGGAACGCCCTGACCTCTCCCAAGTCCTCGACGACCGTCTCAGCTCCATCCGGGCTGCTCTTGAGATGCAGCTTCAACGCGCCTTGACCATGCACCTGCAGCGACTTCTCACCAGTCTTCGGGTTCGTCCATACCATCGGGTACACACAGACTTTGCTCTTCTCCCATTTCGGCAGCTCGTCCAGCGACTTCTCTAGTCCTTCGGTTTCGAGGGAATGGCCGAGCCGGGTACTGTGTGCTTTGGACATCCATACGAAAGCGTGTGGAGCATACTCGATCTTGCTGTTTACGACGATGTTGCGTGTCTCTTCATCGAGCAATGCCAGCGCACGACTACCAGCGACCATCGCCGTAGCCCCGGGTGCCATCTTCATCTGCGTTCCGGCTTCATCCTCCCATCGCACAATTACATCTGGGCCCTTGGGAGTTCGAACGGCCAAGAGACAGCCCACACGTGGAGGAGGAATGTCGTACAGCGAGCCGTCGAAATGCCATTGGTAGAACCGCGAAGCGCCGGCCTCGCGCTCTTCCGCGGGTATGTGCGGTGGAAGATGGAACTCTTCGTGGTCAATACCTTGGACCTCGAAGCCCGGTGGGAAGCCAAAGTGCCCTTCTGGGACAGGGCCGCGTCCAAGAATATGGACTTGAGGCTGCACCGGGATTGCTGGACGCTTGGGAATGCCGTAGAAGTCGACGCCGTTGTGGTGGGTGAGAAAAGGGTCGTGACCGTGAGCAAAACCACCGGTTGTTTCTTCGCGGTCGAAGCTGATGCGAATTTAGATCGAGCAAGCACAAAGACGTTTAATGACTTACTTTGCAGTAAGCAGATACTGCTGCTGCGGCTTCAGCATCTGCGGCTGCTCCTTGAACACCAATAGTTTCCACTTGTGCAAAGCATCGGAAACGAACTCAAAGTCTGCATCCGTGAAGTTGTTCAAATCGATGCCGTAGATCTCGGCGCCAAAGTCTACCTGGCTACCTTCCGCGTGCTTGATGGGCACAACGCGTCCTGTGGTCGTATCCGCATGTGGGAGATCGAGAATGGGCTTCTCTGCTTTGAGACGCAGACAATTGGTCTCCTCGGTTATGACTGCTGTAACGACCATGTTGTTGAGTGACTGAGTGAACTTGAGGATGACGGGGCCTTGATAATTTGCATGTAGAGAGGTATGGGAATCGCCTGGAGATTTTCGTCGACTATATGATCTATCAGGTCTAGCTCGAGTACATACGCCTGATCTACCAGCCCCGAAAACGTTTGTATGGGGACATCCCGAACTGCGCGTCTTGGCCTGGGTGCATCGATACCACCTTGGGCTCCTATCAGCCAGGTTCGGGACCTCGGCCGAGTATCCACCACCACCACTTTTGGATATAGCCGCGACCTTACGAAGCTGGCTACACCGCGTGCAGATACTACGCATACGTTCATATCAACGCCGTGTTACTACTAGGTGCAAAGTCATCCTCGCTCACGATCAAAGACTCAACTCCCATGCTCTCACGATGATTGCTCGCACTCTCACGTCCTCATACCTCAAGACAACTTCGGGCACAGATACACATTACCTACAAGGGGGTGGTCTTTCTGGTCCGCTTCTGGTATGTCTCCATGGGCTCGGAGGCTCTACCGAAACATTCTCGCCGCTCGTACCTTTCCTACCCCAAGCCTACAACATCGTTCTTGTCGACTTTCCTGGCTTCGGGAAGACGCCACTAGCAGGTTCTGCGAGTCCAATCTCCGTTGAAAGGCTTGTTGCCGACTTGGGCGATCTCATTGCATCTTTACAGGGAAGACCGAACAGCTCAGCCTCGTCCAAGGTTATTATCGTTGGGCATTCTCTAGGCGCCATTGTCGCTTTGCACTATGCTGCGAAACAATCCCATTCCGTTGCAGGTCTCTTGCTCCTTGGTCCTGGTCGAGCGGCCGGTCACATCACCGCTGTTCGACAGCGCATGCTCGATCTTGCGGCCGCGGTGAGGAAGGAAGGCATCAAGCATGCAGCGGATCTTGCGGCCAAGTCTAACTTCTACGACGATAGGTACGCACATGATGAGCCCAGAAGAATGTCGAGACCGTGCTAACAGTGAATCCGCAGCCAAAACCGGAAGGTAGACCCAGCATCTCGAGAAGCCGTGAGGCTGGATGTGAGCTCTGCAGACCCCGAGGCCTATGCGCAAACATGTGAAGCTATCGTGGATAGTAGCCACAAAGATCCGCAATACCAGGACATCACATGTCCTGTAGTCTTGGTGGCAGGAGATAAGGATATGATCAGCCCAGTGCAGCGGTCGCAAGATCTCAGAACATTAGTTGGAGGAAGAAGCTGGGTGCATGTTGTGAAAAGTGGTCATCAGCCGATATTGGAGGATCTTTCTGGCGTTGAGAAAGCTCTGCAGCAACTGATGGAAGCCGTCATCGAATGAAACATGTTGAATTATGTAATTGCGCAATCTGGCCACGCGAGTGATGTGTAATGTGATTTTTATACTGTGTTTAGCGACGTTGCGCCGGATACCAGCAGATAGAAGGGACAGCTAAGAGAAATTACGCCAATGAGAAGTCGTAATTTGCTAGGTACAGAAGATCATCGAAACTATTGGTACTTGCTAGACCGGATGCTAAGAAAGCAAATGCAGATTGCGGACGTTCAGGGCTTGTGGCGAGGAAATTGCTCTCTTCCGAATTATATGTAGGAGGTTGATCGGTAGTAGATCCTGATGCTGCTGTAGGACGTGGCGAAGGATGGCTGTCGCCATTCTTGGTCTGATAGAAGTTCCTAACAAGGACTGAGAAGTCAAATTTGGAAGCGGGTGTACCGTCACGATTACGCTTTCTTCTTCTTTGGGACATATTCTCGTGCGACGCCTGACTAAGCAACACTTTGAGAAGTCTGACGCCTCTGACCGCAATCATACTCTCTGGGCGCCGCTGCAGGATCTCTAAGACGTCTTCAACAAGTGCACGATGCTCAGAACTCTCATTCTCGTTGATCTCGCGATGTAGTACATCTAGCAAGAGGGTGATCGATGCTGCGACGGCAAATGCTTGGTGAATCCACAAGGTGGGGCCATCTTCCCCGACCAAGGCCTTATACTCCTTGACGATCGTTTTGGAGGCTGCGAGACATGTTCGGCGAGTGAATGCGAAAGCAGGATTGACGAAACTGTCCAGTAGAAAAGAACGATGAATCATGATGATCTTGTGACTCGACGTAATGGCTAGAGCGCGCCGCGCCCATGGTACCCACGTGGGCCAGCTCGGATCCAACGGTGCATTCGTCATGAAAACTGGCCTTCCACGAGTGGCCAGTTCTCGAAGTCGCGCATCCCAATGCAAGACCGTTTCGTAACGTGTGTAAGGTGTATTGCATGATACGAGGCCGTCCTGAAGCTGGGGCATAATTATCGCGATGTCGCGCAAGAATAGAGAATAGCTTGTAGTAGTAGGAACGTCCGCGTCAACGGCGGTCAAATCTTTGTCGTGGCTGTTCAGCGGTGGGGTTGATGTTGAGTATCTTGGAACGACCAGGTAGCTTTCCGAGAACGGTATGCTGAACCAGTCCTGACTGCAAAGTTGACACCAAACTCTACGACCAGTCTCATTTGCTACGACACCTCCACTGGCGTCTGGCCCTAAGCGATGGATGCCCAAAGATTGAGCAATGCGTACAGCCGTTGCGAGATGGATGCTTTGCTTTGTACTGAACCCTAGGAGATGAGCTGAAACGGTTGCCGTGGCTATAGCTTGGCAAGAATGGATGCTCAAGTTACTCGTATAATCCGCCCGGTTAAGGCAAGTGAAAATAGCTTGATACCATCGTCGCGAGAGCTTCTGTCGCTCGGCCATGTCAAATCCCCATGATTGCGCTCGCAGATCGGGTGCACATGCAAGACTAGCGGCCAAGATAGCGAATAATAAAGCTACCCATTGAAGATCCGTAGTTGATTGTTCGATAAGCCCATTATCTCTATCGTAGAAATCTTGGAGTTGCGCCTGGAAAGTAGGAACGAAGTAGCTGCCATGGTACCACAACAGGCTTTCATGGTGGTATTCTACCAACTGTCGAACTTGGTGGAGGCTTGGAAGAAGTAGTTGAAGCACCGAAAGCTGGGACAAGTCATCGAAAATGCCTGAACCCGCTTCAATCGGAACATCATCCACGGGTTCGAGGGACGCGACTGTGTGACAGTGAGGCTCTTTCCTTCTTCCCCAAGCGAGGAACTCCAGTACCGTCGCGGTATCTCGAGAAACAGCAGCGTCGTCGGGCTCATCTGCGGACTCATCTGGAAGCCGATCGTTTAGTGTTTCAGGTTGCAGAGTTCCGGGCGGAGTCGCAATGTTCGTCGGGCTTCGCTGGCATGTTTCGCTTTCGAGCTGTGCGACCCGCTGTCGCAAATAGTCGAGCTCACATGATCTTTGGTAGGAAGGACGCGTTGGAGAGCTTACATCGCCATGCAAATCGTCGATACCGCACGTATCTTTTTGGCCTCGTCTGATGCAGTTGTCGCAGGGTACCGTCTTACTGCACTTGACTTTCCGCTTCGCACAAGCTGCGCACGTCAGCCTGCTTCGCGGATGAGATGCCATGCCAAGTCGAGACCAAGCGGACAATCCGGTGCCATAGTCGAGAAGATTGAAGTTTCCAGTGATAAACACGGAGGTTGCGGGATGGTCGCTTGGAGATAGCCCTGGAGCGAACTGATAAGCGTCGGCACTAGCGCCGGCCGACCTTCGGCTCTCATCCTCCCCATTCAGGTGGCGCACGCTTGCATATCATCCCAACGCGTCTCATTGCAGCATGAACACCTCCCATCAGATGCAGCAACACGATAGCGATATGGGCAAGGAACACATACTTATCTATGATAGCGACGAGGTATGGCCCAATCACGTCACGATGAATGATAAGATCAGCCCAGACTACCCCATCTTTTGCTCAGCGCGGTGCGACGTAAGCGCAGCTGTTTATCTTTGACACCTGCCGCGAGACGCAGCACATATATCCTGACTTCATAAGATGAGGATAGCTTGCTATTTTTGTGGAAGATCGGACTCAGACGCAACTTCGAAGTACATCGTCGATCACCTATCTATCCGTCATCGCTTTACTCGAACGGCTGGAGATATTCATCGCTAAACGACTTTTGATGAGCTTAGAAGAAGACTGCTTGAATCACATGGGCGCATAACAAAACAGAGGCCCCTCAAAATGCACTTTACAGGCAGCATACGCAGTCGCAGCCACGCGGCAAAAGAGAAGATGAAGCTTCGCACAACGCAGCCATCGAGCTGGCAACTTCCTAAGCAAAACAGCAGCATCGCACCGCCCGATGTATGGACCAATGCCGATATGGAGCCAGTACCACCGGAAAAGCGGACTTGGGGCAAGAGCGCGTTCGTAACGTACTGGTTCAGTGACCTTGTTACCATATCGACTTGGAGTTCAGGGTCTGCCATCTTCACACTTGGTAAGTTTTCGACAGTCTCGAAGTCATCTTGAGGATATGATGTTAATTGGAGTAGGTCTGACGGCAACCGATGCCGTGCTCATAACGCTCGTGGCGGGTATATGCAACGCTCTGCCCACCGTACTCAACGGCGCTATCGGCTCGAACCTACATATTCCGTTCCCCATCGCGTCTCGCGCCAGCTTTGGTTACTGGTTTAGCTACTTTGCCATAGTGAGCAGAGGTGTTTTGGCTATGTTTTGGTTCGGGGTTCAAACAGCCAACGGAGGTACATGTGTCACCGCGGTACGTTACACCAAGAATGGCCTGATGGATGCGTCTCCTGACATTGCTTCCTAGATTTTGAACGCTATCTGGCCAAGCTTTCGCGATATTCCCAACCATCTACCTGCATCGGTCGGTCTCACGACGGCCGGGATGATCTCATACTTCCTGTATTGGCTCATTCAATTCCCGTTCCTTCTCATCCCGACGCACAGACTACAGTACATGTTCTGGGTGAAGACAGTACTGCTACCACCCGTAGCCATTGGAATGACAGTTTGGGTTGCTGTCAAAGCAGGCGGCAATGGCACTTTCTTTACACGTCCGGCCTCGGTGCATGGTGCTGAAAGGGCCTGGCTATGGTTATCGAGCATGACTAGCATTACTGGTGGATACAGCACACTCGCTGTCAACATTCCCGACTTCTCCCGCTTTAGCAAAGATCCGACAGCGCAATACTGGCAGATGCCGGTAATCCCTTTCTTCAAGACTATGGTCGCTCTCATGGGAATCGTCTCTGCATCCGCAGCCCAAGAGATCTGGGGCACAGCCTATTGGACGCCACTACAAATCATCGATACCTGGGATACGCCTGGTGGCAGGGCAGCAGCCTTCTTCTGTGCTTCCATCTGGTTGCTTGGGCAGCTTAGTGTCAACATTAGTGCGAATGCCGTCTCTTTTGCCAATGACGTCACGACGCTAGCGCCAAAGTACGTCAACGTACGTCGCGGTTCCATTCTCGTCGCATTCATCGGCGGCTGGGCGCTATGTCCTTGGATCATCGTAGCGTCCGGAAAAGCGTTCCTCAACTTCATGAGCGCATATGCCATCTTCATGGCGCCCATGGCAGGCATTCTCTTCACGGACTACTGGCTGGTGAAGCATAGGAAGTATAATGTCCCTGCTTTGTACGACCCAAGAGGCATCTATCGATACGGTCGATACGGTACAAACTGGCGCGCTGTTGTCGCAACGTTCGTCACCATCATCCCTCTGTTGCCAGGCCTGGCCAACAAAGTCAATCCGGAGTTGAAGCTCTCGGCGGGTCTCCAGAATCTCTTCACGTTCAACTGGCTGTATGGGTTCTTCCTGTCCATTTTCTTGTACTACTTCTGCAATCTGTTCTTTCCTGCCCATGAAACCCTCATTCCGCGCATCGTTACTGGGTTTGAGTATCTGGATGGAATCGAAGTTGACAACGAGGCTGGGAGCTTGTCGCACGATAGCGAGGCCAAAGCTATGCCTGAGGCTAAAGTATCTCCTCGGTCTTCCAGCCAAGCTCAAGACTGCAGTAACTAGAGTACTGGCGCGGAACTACACCTAGAGATATGGAGGGAACCAGGTAGCATTACTTAGATATCGTAGCCCATTACTTTCAAA